GCTATTCGGATCCAGTCAATAATTGTGTTTCCAGAGGGACAATTACGTCATCCTAATTGGAATGAATATACAGATAAACGAAGTTTGTAGTGCTCCCTCCAGTTCTTATGTACGGATTAGTAATCAGATTTTCCTTTTCTTAACTGAAACTGCCGCCCATACTCAACATCCGTACAATTGCTTGATTAATCGATTATTTTACGGGTCGTGAGATACCATCAAAATCACTACTGCGATTAATATAATAAGTTGCACTTCGCCCGTGTGTAAGAATGTTTTGTTGCTTTTCGTGACAGAAAGGAAATGTCTCATGCTACTAGTAAACAAGCTGTAAACACTGTTTATAAAAAGCATGACACTGCTGTCTGATAGCATGGAAACAGAGATCAGCTCCCCCTCAAATGACTTAAATGATTTTAAATTTCACGTGCTTTTTGTGTTCATTTAATATAATAAACTATAATGTTAGTCAAAGCGAATTACAGCCGGAAGGCGCACTATGCTGCACCTATTATTCGCAGGAAGCAAACTGTTACACGCTTTTCAGCCGGCTGCACCGAAGCACAGTGGGACGAGTTGCTCGCTTAACAGAATTAGCAGTTAATAAGAGAAATTTTCGCCGCGCCAAAAATTTGAACATGAACACCTACAAAGTGCAAAGAAAACTATTAGCACACTGCGCCACCACCTCAAAAACAATGCAACAATGGCACTCCTCGTGGAATAATAAGGGCAAGCGACGCCTGTCTTCTTTTCAGTTCTCCGATTTGACATGAGCATTGTAATCACCGATTAGAATGGTGGATGCTATAGAAAGCACTTCCTACAGAGCACCCTGTATGCCCTCCAGAAGGACTCCTATTCTCCCTCGAAACTGGGTGCATGAACATGTAACAATGTCGAAGCGTTAGCCTGTGGTAACTTCAATCAGACGGTTACCATCATTAAGCTAAGAGGCTTCCACTCAGTGATTCTGTCAGCCTGGATGGGTTTTACTAGAACAGTACCAACACCAGCCTGAGCGGGTCTGAAGTTGACACCTTCGTTAAAAACGGTTTCCAATTCCAGAGGCTCAGAATTCCAGATCTCTGGCGTTTCGTTTATGAGAGTCAAATTCTGCCCAGTCAGTACCTTGCGGGCTCATCAACTAGCTAATGAGATGTACTAATTTCTGACTGTAAGCATTCACTATTCATTGAATTGGTCGTTTATTTACAGCTTTACCTTATTACACCGTTATTAAAATTCGGTCATGATATATTCGCTCCCAGCAAGCAGAACGTTTTCATTATACCGCGGAAAATTTCTGGAACCATCGGCTTCAGACTCGCAATGAATCATTGTTGGCCGTAAATTCTTTTGCGGTGGTCAGGCTACATAAGGGCTTTCTTTGTGAACCATTTCTTACCGCCGACAGTTGAACATCTCGCATGCTTTGCCAAAAGACCATGTCGTTCAGATTCAGAACAAGCAATGCTTCTAGATGCAAAGTTGTTATAACTGACAAAGTTAATACAAATATAGAAAGTTTACAAACTGTAACTCATTAATAGGTGAAACAAAGTTGCAGTCGAATACGCACCTACTTATCTCGACGTTTCAGCCACTTACTTTGGAAAAATCACAATAATACTTTACATTCTTCATAACTTCTTCTAATCAATAAAAAACAGGAAGATCGTCAGGATCATAATGAGGAAGATGATGATTGAGTTAATGATAATGACCATAACAGCAGCGGACTACTATTACAGTGATAATTACGAATCATCATTAACGCGTTTGATGGCAATTAATATTTTTGGGGAGAAACTGGTGTTTTGGGCAGAAACAATTTTATTCATGTACCAGGCTATCTGTATTTACACTTTGCTGCGCTCTTATTAACTTGACTGTTGCTCCAAACAAGTCAGCCATAGCATTAAATCTTCATAAAGCATGCCTACAACCATCGAACCAGTCAAAATACGAGATTTAAAATCCGCAA